GTGTGTGTGTGTGAGTGTGAGTGAGTGTGAGGGAGTGTGCGTGTGTGTGTGTGAGCGTGTGTGTGTGTGTGTGTGTGTGTGAGCATGTGTGTGTGTGTGTGTGTGTTTATTTTAATTTGTTTTTATTTTAACATTATTTTAATTTTACATTTTTAACCATTTAATTAATAGTAAGTGTTTTTTTGTTTTATTTTAAAAGTATGCATTTTATTATTATTATTTCTTTTGTTATTTCTTTTATTTGATACATTTGTATGCTTTAGTTATTTGTTTAATTTTAAATGTTTATGATTTAATTAAGTAAACTGAAAAAAAATTATACAAATTTTTTTTAAGGTAAGTGGTTGCAATCAGTTTATTTTAGCTGCATTTAAATAAACAAATTTAGTTGACTAACTTTCAGTTAAATTTGTTTATTTAAATGTGGCTAAAATAAACTGATTGCAACCACTTACCTTAAAAAAAATCATTTTTTTTTTCAGTGCAATGAATTAATTTGTGTTTGTGTGACTGATGCATGAGTGGATTGGAGCTCAAGTGCTCTCGGTGTCTTTGGTTTGGCTCTGCTCGTGTGGTTTGGGTCGAGATCAGCGGCTCACTGATGGACGCATATGTGATTCTGACACAGTCTCTGCTCTGTACTGATGAATATACTGGGTTTCAGTATCATTCACTCACACTTCTGTGGTTTAGACACAAATGAGAGTTATTTCTGCTGTCAAACATCATAAAAAGCTGCATTACAATAGCCTGTATGATCATGCATTATATTTCTAAAGAGAAGATAATGGAGCACTTGATCAGCTGTCTGGGTGCACTTCGTGTTTAATAACCGGCTGATAATGAGACTGAATCATGTGGAGAAAGATCCTCGGACGTTCAAGCTACATCCGTCAATTTTATTAATTATTTTGACATGCAAGATGTACTCAGTATATTTGCTCAGTGTTGACTCCGTAATTTAACAACACCTTCACATGTTTACAGTTCTCTGATGTGGGATAACGGTCACATTGACATGTGCGTAAACAAATCAAATATTTTATCTTTAGTAAGTGGCTTTTTTGATTGCTTTTATTTTAAAATGTTTTGTTTGATTTTTACGTTTTTATAATTAATCAGTAAGTATTTTACTTTTATTATTTTAAAAATATGAGTTTCATTTTTATTATTTAATTAATTAATTATTTTAATTTGACATTTGATAATTTAATTAATTAATAGTAAGTGATTTAATTGTTTTATTAAAAAAATTTTTTTTTTAATTTTGCGATTTAATTAATTATTAGTAAGTGCTTTATTTTGATTGCTTTTATTTGAAAATGTTTTGTTTGATTTTACGTTTTTATAATTTAATTAATCAGTGTTTTATTTTTGTTATTTATGTTTTAAAAATATTAGTTTAATTTAATTTTTTTAATGTTTAATTAATTATTATTTAATTAAATACTTTATTTTAATTTTATATTTTATAATTTAATTAATTAATAGTAAGTGTTTTTATTGTTTTGTTTTAGTTATTTATTTTATTTTACATTTTACGATTTAATTGCTTATTAGTAAGTGTTTTATTTTGATTGCTTTTATTTTAGATTATTTGTTTAATTGTATATTTTTATGATTTAATTAATTTGTAGCAAGTGTTTTTTTTATTGTTTTAAAATTAGTTGTTTAATGTTAATGTTTTATCATTTAATTGATAGTAAGTGTTTTTATTGTTTTATTTTAAAATGATTTATTTTACGTTTTTATAATATCATTGATTATTACTGAGTGTTTTATTTTGATTGCTTTTATTTTCAAATTATTTGTTTAATTTGAAATTTTTATGATTTAATTCATCATTACTAAGTGGTTTATTTAAATGTTTTATTATTATTGTTTTATATTATTATTTAAATAAATCCCTTGTAGTTCCAAGTTTGGAAAACCCTGAAGATCTTTGATTTATTGTTTAATTTTACATTTTTATGATTTAATTAATCATTAGTAAGTGGTTTATTTGAATGAGTTTTTATTTCCCCCCCTTTTTATTATTTAATGAATTGTTACAAACCCCTGTAGTTCCAAGAACACCCTGACGTTTCAGAGGACCTCCCTCACGCTTTAGAGGAGCGTTTGTCGAGCTCAAGCTTTAATTTCTGTGATATTCGACGAGCTGAAGCCCTTCTCTCTTCTTTTCTCGTGTTCAGTGTCTGGAGCCATGCAGGGCATCATGGGACCTGAAGGAGAACCAGTGTCAGGACTTGTGTGAGGTACGGTGTTCCAAGTTTGGAAAACCCTGAAGATCTTTGATTTATTGTTTAATTTTACATTTTTATGATTTAATTAATCATTAGTAAGTGGTTTATTTGAATTAGTTTTTATTTCCCCCCCTTTTTATTATTTAATGAATTGTTACAAACCCCTGTAGTTCCAAGAACACCCTGACGTTTCAGAGGACCTCCCTCACGCTTTAGAGGAGCGTTTGTCGAGCTCAAGCTTTAATTTCTGTGATATTCGACGAGCTGAAGCCCTTCTCTCTTCTTTTCTCGTGTTCAGTGTCTGGAGCCATGCAGGGCATCATGGGACCTGAAGGAGAACCAGTGTCAGGACTTGTGTGAGGTACGGAAACTCTTGAGACGCAAACAGCACATTAAACCTGTCAGAGCTGAGGTCAGCGTCTCGCGTTCGCTCCTGCTTTCAGACTCAGTTCCCGAAGAAGCATTACGAGTGCTTGACGAGCTGCGAGTTCCTGCGCTCCGTTCAGACGCTGAAGCCGGGGGACTGTCCTGCGCCGGAGCGAGCGAGCGGATTCGCCGCCGCATGCGTGGAGAGCTGCGAAACAGACGCCGAGTGCACGGCACTGAAGAAGTGCTGTCCGAATGGATGCGGTCACACCTGCCAGATCCCCAAGAACCCCTATAAAGGTACAAACCCCACCAGCCACACATAAACCATCACCCTGCCATCATCAACTCACCCTCATGTCCTTCAAACCTGTGTGGCTTCATTTATCCACACAATGAAAGTCTAATGCTGTTGCTTTGGACCCCATTGAGTCATACAGATCTGTACATCGTCAGAAAGAGAGAAAAGTCATGGTTGGGTTAAGAGTTTTTAAAGTTATAAGCACTTGATATTTAAGGCTACAAAATTTTTTTTTCTCATTTAGGTTTTATGTAAAGTGTTTTTATTAGAGCCTGACCGATATGGGTTTTTTGGGGCCGATACCGATATTAGGGGGTAAAAAAAATCCGGATATACCGATATATCGGCCGATATTCTTTGTGTATATTATAGTACCAGTCAAAAGTTTGGACACTTTCCCATTCATGTGTCCAAACATTTGACTGGTACTATATATATAATACAGTATATACATAAACAGAATATATATACATAAACACGTTTTTTGCAATGATCTCTCAAATGTGGTGATCAAACACTTATAATGGTGATAGAGATATGTAAGGGCATTTAACAATTTAACAATAAGCTTTATTATCCAAAATGAGTCTGACATCAGTGCACTGAACAGTAAAATTGAAGTTTATTCAACTTTAATTCAATTCAATTCCATTCAACTTTATTCCATTGAAGTTTATTTCACTTCGGAACATTCATTCACAGATTTGCGCTACGGTCTTCACACACACAGACGAAACTTACTAGAGAAGTGTGAAGTGTGACATAATATAATATAGGGGAGCGCGATGCACAAAGTAACGGGGTGTTAGTTGTAACACACGTGGTTTGAATATTATTTTACCATAGTAACATTTAAATTCTGGCTTAAGTACATTTTTTATCTCAGTTTTTATTATTTATTATATTTTATTATTAATTTAAAATGAGACAAATCTGCTATTATTTTAATCTCTAATCTGTTATTTATCAGTTCAGATAGTTTTTTAATGCTTTGATTACTAGCAGAAGACACTAACCAGTTTTAAATTCCAGTTGCGCAGATGGGGCACGCTGTAACACTACGTTACAATGTGCTATTCTATGACATTTACACTATTTATATATATATATATATATATATATATATATATATATATATATATATATATATATATATATATATATATATATATATATAATTATTTTTTTTTTATTAACAAAATATTTTTATTTGTCTTGTATATTTTTTTCATTGGATCAGATAAGATTTTAAGCTGTCATATGGTCAAGTTACAACGTGCCCCTCAGATGTTACAATGTGTTCCACCTACGGGGCATGTTGTCAGATTTCACTTCCATTTTTTGAGGGTAAATAAAGAAAAACTTATACACTGTAATTATGAAACAAAGCGACATATTTGTACGCGACATATTCGCCACGCCCTTACAGAGATATGGCCGTTCAAAGTTTCAATGGTTTTCCATTGACTTAAGCTTTAAAGCTTTTCATCCAGGTCGCCAGTATCAAACAATGGAGCGCGCTCTGCTGGACAAACTAAGTAATTACACCATTTCAAGCATTTTATCTGCTTTATATGTTCTGTAAAAAAAATTTGAATATCGGCGGCATATCCACCGATACCGATATATCGGCGACAGGCTCATATCGGCCGATAATATCAGCAAAACGATATATCGGTCAGGCTCTAGTTTAATAAAATTTAAAAGTAAAGTAAAATTTAATTGAAACCTGAAAATATAATAATAAAAGCTCATTCAAAATAATGTAATATAAATGCATACTAAAACTAAAACCTAACTTGGGTTATTTGGTTATTTTGACGCAGCTGGTTGGGTTAAATGTTTTGATCCACCATATCTGGGTTGTTTTATTTAACTCAACTATTGTTTAAAAGTTATTATATTGCTGGTTTACAATGGGCTGGAAATTAAAAATCACACACAGAATTACTAGAGGCAACAGAAATAATCAAAAGATGAACATGTATTATTAAGCAACAAAATACAAGACAAATTGAATTTATTGGGTGAATACAGCAAAGTTTACAATATTACATACATTTAAACTCATTCAACAAGCACTTTAGAAATAAAGAAATGTAGCATTTAAAAGTAGCATTTTAATTTAAGTGTATTCAACCGTTCTCTGTAATCGCTTTTTTACTGAAACCTGAGCCGGTGAAGGGCTGCTGTTCGCGGGGGAACTCTACAACCTGCCCATAAACAAACAGTACTGCGATTAGAGAACGTATATTAACATCAAATTACATTAAACCCAACTTAGTTACAGAAAACTACCCAGCACCTGGGTAAAAAACATTAAAATGACCCAACAAGCTGAACCCAGCATTTGGGTTCAAATATAACCCAGCTTTTTCTTTTTAGAGCGTACTAACTGGAAATAACTAAAACTAAAACAAATTAGTAAAAAAAAAACATGAACAATAAATTGAAATTAAAACTGAAAATGTAAAATAACTGCTTATTCAATATTAATACAAATTATAATAGTATATAAATGATACTAAAATACTAAAGAGTCACTTTGGATAAAAGCATAAAACAACTGCATAAATGTAATGTAATTCAAAACATTAATAATAACTTTTTTGTATGGATAACCAAAATAACATAGAATTAGTTTTTTTTTTAACTTGAACTACTAAAATAATTCAAACGAATAAATAAAAATGAATACAAATATATCGGGAAAAAAATTAAAAACTATAAATATAAATGACAACAAAAAAAAAACAACAACTAAAATTAAAAGAAAAAAAGAAAAGAAAATCTAATTCAAAATATTAACAAAACCTAAACTGTAAGTACTAAAATAACTAAAACTAATAAAAAAAAAAACATAAAAAATCAATCAATATAAAGAATTATAAAATATAAATACACATAAAACCACACAACACAAGTACTAAAATGTAGTTAAAGTGAAAACAGGAAATCTAAAAATCTAATCAGATTGCATGTATAAACTGAAGCTGTAAGAGTATGTGCGTAATACTACAGTAACACAGAAGCGCAGACTGAAGCAGGCTTTACGCTTCGTCTGTATTGATTTACAGCTTCCCCCTGGTTTGCAGAAAGCCGTAAAGCCTTTTATTGAAATCCAAAGGCAATCAGAGAGCCGTCGCTGGTGTCAGGAGCGTAATTGTTTCTCTCTGTTAGAAGATGACGATCAGCGATGCTGGAAACCATTAACGCTGCTCTGTCGATGGCTCTCAGATGTTCCTGTAGCCTCCTCGTCTTTCTCCTTGACCCAGAGATGAAGCCCGATGCAACTCCGAATACCAGGAACACGTCACTTAAAGCCTGTATTTATAATGCATTGTAAGGTATTCATAATGCACATTGTAATGCATTATAACTAATCGTAACCAAATTTAAGATGCATTATAATATCCGTTTGTTGTGTTTTAATGCAGTTTACCTTCTGAAGGTGTGACAATGAATAGATGAGTATTATTATCATGCTTCATTAATGCATTAAAATACTTTTGGAATGCATTATATGTGAAGGCTTTAAGTAAAGTGTTACTGTTGTGTCAAAACAACCCACATATGCAATGCATTTTTATTTTGTGATTTACACATGATTTTGTCTCGCTAATTTAAAGTATGAAGCCAGAACGGCGTTTGTTTCTTTTGATTTCGTTCTTGAGCTCATCGAGAGCGGGACGTCTGTGAAGCACGTGATTTCTGTGACGTTGTGCAGGAATGCATGGGTTTTTTTTTCATTTACTAAAACTAAAACTGTTAAAGACAACTGTTAATTGAAATAAAGCTGAAATGTAAATATTAGATTAAAAGCAAAAATAAAACTGAAATAATAAATGAAACCTTAATGATAATATTAAAAACGACCAAAACACAAACGTCATTGCGAAAAGAAAATATCAAAATAAAAGCTAATTCAAAATACTAATAAAAACTATAATAGTATATAAATAATACTGAATCTAAGCCACACCGTATAAAAGCGTCTGCCAAATGCATAAATGTAATGTAAATGTAAATGCATAAATATAGAAAAATCGTCCTTCTTTGCTGTTTTCATGTGATGCAAACCATATGACAATTTTATTTAGTGTTACAGTTTTATTTTAATTTACTTGCACTGAACGAAGTTTAAGTTGAAGCATTACGATTGCTCACGCTAAATAAATAAAAACTAAAACTAAAGCTGAAATATAAATAAATTAAACCTTATTAGTAATATTAAAAAAGACAAAACACACAAGAAAAAGTTATTTCAGAATATTAATCAAAACTATCATAGTTTATAAATAATATTAAAATACTAAAAAGTCATTTTGGATAAAAGTGTCTGCCAAATACATTTCTGAGTTCATTTTGAGGACAAAATGGCATATGAAGCAAATCATGTGACGATTAAATTTCGTGTTACGCCTAAGCTGAAATAAAACAATATATAAATATTAAATTATTTAACAATTTAATTTCTTGTTACGCCTAAGCTGAAATAAAACAATATATAAATATTAAATTATTTAACAATTTAATTTCTTGTTACGCCTAAGCTGAAATAAACAATATATAAATATTAAATTATTTAACAATTTAATTTAGTGTTACAACTAGGCTGAAATAAACAATATATAAATATTAAATTATTTAACAATTTAATTTCGTGTTACACCTAAGCTGAAATAAACAATATATATCAAATTTAAATATTAGATGAAACACTAAAATTACTGGCTGAAAATAAATAAAAACTAAACTAAAAACTGAAATAAAAATAAAATAAACCTAATTAGTAATATTTTGAAAATGGCTCTAACACAATAAAAGAATTACAAAAATATTACCAAAAATTGTAATGAAAACTAAAAATAAAATTTAATATCGGCGGCATATTCGCCGATATATCGGGCTCATATCGGCCGATAATATTTTTATTACTAATTAGGTTTAATTTATTTTAATTAATTTTTTTTGTTACTGCACCACAATTAGTGTTACA